AAAACACACTCTTGATTATGCTTCACAGCTTTTTAATCAAGTAACACAATCACTCGTGCTTCACAGCTTTGAGTGATGTACACAACTAACTTGACTCTGCTTCACAGCTTTAGTCAAGTAACATTCAAACACTCTTGCTTCAAAGCTTTGAGTGCTACACAACCCTTACAATTGAAACCTATTCCAAGACACTTATCACAATGATAATTGCTTGGAGTACAATTAAACAAATCTATACAGATTACAAACTCGATCTTCTAATTAATCAGCAGGGATGATTTCAAAAACCGCAGCTCTGTTGAATATATAGCAGCTGCAACTTCAGTTAGGGTTTCCAAAAACCTAGGGTTGATTCCGTTTGACTTAAAGTCCAGGTCACAGTACTTTGTTGATCAGGTTAGGATTGAGCGAGGTTACTCCTCAGAAAACGCAGGATTCTGTTTAGGAAGGACTGAGTTATTTCCTGAAAAAACTCAGACTTATCCAATCCTGTAATCCTGCTAGTTCAGAACAGGATGTCATAACATCTGTTATGACATCTGAGAAAACCTGTCTACTGATTAGCTAAATGTGATCATTTTGCAAACATGCTCAGATACACACTTATGAACATCAGTATTTGAGTTACAATATTTTTCTGCGTATGTACCTAAAGAGTTAGTACAACCTGAACTAGAATGTTATGACATCAGTCATGACATTCACACATACACTTGGAATTTACCAAAAATACAAGCCAATACCTAAACACCTACAATAAGCCCTATCATTAGATGTTTGAGGGACATGCACGGGTCATCGTACAGTCATAAAGGCAACTCGTAAGGCGCTTTAGCAATTTATCGTAAGGGACTAAGATTGTTTATCGAAGGTAACATCGAAGTATCATCAAGGGACTACGATCTTTTAACCGAGGGTCTTTATTAAAGCACCCCACGTTCGAGGGACATGACTTTTTTTCATCCGAAGGCAACAAGTGGAGTTACCCTAGAGGTGCGAGTGTGTGAACTGTGTTATGATTCAGTTATTTTAATCTTTGAGATTAGGGTTAGCTATCCTTTGATTTTAGATCTTATCATACAAACCTAATTACTATACAACTATATATATACAGGCATAATTATAGGTGCAAAAAGTAAAATGCGGGAAATAAACCTAGGCTATTACATCCCATAGGCAGTTACATAATAGGAAAAATGCGAGGAAATATAAACTATGACTATTACAAAATCACTCGTGCGACCTATACAATTGTTTTCTAGAATTTAAATAGCAAAGAATAAATAAAAGCAATTAGGAGAAGATATTAAAACCTAAAAAATTTCTAAATGTTAGGAAAATAGTTTTGATGTTAATGACAATTTAAACCTAATTTTAGTTGATTTTGATTAATTAACAAAAATCCTAAAGTCTAAAAATTGCTAATTGATTTAATTAATTAATAAAACAAACTTAAAATTAATTATTGATTTAAAAGAGTAAGCCTAGTTATTCCTAAATATAAATTAATTAATAAAAAAACCTAAGTCTAATTATTATTATTTTTAATTAAGAAATAAAAAAAAGTTGATTTAATTATGTTAAGAAAAATATAAGAAAAAAAACAAAAATAATAACTAGAGAAATGGGCCTGTTGTAGAAGAAAATTAGGGAGTGTGGAGAAACAAGTCCACTAGGCCCAAACGTACCAAAGAATTCATATCAGAAGGTTGTGACGGTCGTCACACCTTCCCCGACGCTCGACACAAGTTAAACATGTGTTCCCCTCGGCCCACATGCCATGACGATCGACACAAGATAAAAATATGTGTACCCCACGGAACACAATGCATGCCACTCAACACATGCTATTTTTCTATTTGACGCGAAGTTTTATCCATGATTATCTATGTTGCCAATACCAACGACTTCTACATTATTTCCTCCCGGTCTTTCTCCATGCACAGATTTTTCTGAGGCCATAAAGTCACAACATCTAGTTTTTCTCAAGAAATCTGTTATAGGAGGACTATAATAGAAGGACAGTTACACAACAGAAGGCTCTCCACTCTCTCTCGTTTTGTTACGCTATCTCGCATTTCACTTTTTCACGCCATTATTCCAGTTTCAACAGTTCAGAGCTTTGTTTAGAATCCTTAAGCAGATAAAACCTTCACATAAACAATGATAGTTTTCTACACCAGAAAGCTATTGCATCATTAGTTTCTTTTCATAGCCTCCTGGATTTTGCTTTAAGTTTTATATTCTTTTTATTTTGAATTCAAGTTATTTTTCCGCAAGAAAATCCTACAGGTATATTGTGGAGGATTGCTATCAGTACTAGAAGTGTTACAAAAATTGCATTCTATTATTTAATTCCAGGTTTTTAATTAAATTATATTTTTGTTCTCTATTTATAAATCATTGTTGAATAATTATATGTTTGCTACTATTTTGTGTTTGTGATAAATAGTATGTCTGACTAACTTCCCTGATACTGGTATGTAAGGTCATAAACCGAAGGGGTTCGGTAACAATTTGCCATAAACCTTTTATAAAATGATTTTCTAGTTTAGATTCCAATTTTAATACTAATAACTATTTTGTTACGAGAGTAAGAGACAAACGAAGGCTAAAATTAATAATCACGAGAGTGTGAGTTTTTAATCAGATAGTGGTAATCAAGCATTAGTTTTAAATACAATGAGAGCAGTTTAGGATTAATTAGATTATGTTTGTTTTCAAAATGTATTTTTGGATTTTAAATGAGACTGTGAGAGCGAGAATTTAAGTTTAATAATATAATCCGAATCAATAATCACGAGAGTGTGAAATAAAGGTTTTTAAACTGATAGTTTCTACTGAATAGTGTTTTGAATACTCAAAGTTATGCCAATGATTTACAGAATTCCCAAATCCAGATGTATTACGTACCAGTGTCCCGTTATTAAATATTTATTATTATCCTTAGATTTACACAGTAACTTTAGATAACAATAATTTGATTATCAGTCCTTGTGGGTTCGATATCTTTTAAAACCACGCGATTAAACTGTGCACTTGCAATTAATACACCCCGATAGACTCTTAAAGACGCGATCACACATAATATTAAAATTAAAATAAAATTTTTTAGAGATCTAGATAAAAATCAAATTCCCTGAAGATTTAGATTTTAGATCTTCGAATTATTGAATCTTAGGGAAGATCAAATGTTGGGTGCAAGATTATTCTTTTGAATATTTAATGCATTTGTTTCTCATGAAAAAAAAGGGTAAGATAATTAAAATCAATATTCAAATATATGATTTTCAATTCAAATAAATATTTAAGAAAAAAAACCTTAAACACAGATAATTTTCTGCTCTTGCAATCCATCATATAGAACTTTCCCAAGCGTCTTTAGGTGTCAAATATTTCATGTTTCATTTAGGTTAGAAATGTTAATATCTAGCATGCTTTTATAATAGATGTCTCTTAGGTTTCACGCGGATCACTAACGACAAAGTCTTGAGCATTGATAATCATTAACTGAACAACAAAGATTTGTTTAAGGCCGCTGAAATTCCTCAACAAAAAAAGCGCTTAACATATCCCTTGGTTTAAATCATAAACCGAGGTGAATAAACTTTTTTTGTATTATATTGTTTATGCAAAATATTAAAATACATTTTTTACAATAAATCTTTGGTGAAATCCAAATTTTGTTGCATACCCTTGTGTTTTCATGTCCAAAAAACACTCCATAACTTATCCAACTCCTGATAAGTTATATGCTCCCACCATGAGAATTTTTATTTTCTGCACTTGTAATTCATCCCAGAGATTTGTTTTCAAGTTCTTGAGCATTTCTAGATAAAATATTCTCATGGAAAATCCACCCAAGAAATTTTTTTGTAGTAGAAACTCATGAAATGGACGATGGTTAATATTTCTTCTATTTGGGGAGGCTACATATAAGTTAGAATTATGGTAAAATCTGTTTAACGAGATTATTTATAGTAAAATCTAATTATTATACCATTAGGTTTTATAAGAAAACCGAGATAAACTATCTTCTTATTTTACCTATCACCTTGGTTATGACGAAAACCAAGGTGAACAATTTTTTTTTCTTTGAAATTACATTGTTTACACAAAATATTAAAATAAATTGTTTACAGCAAATCTTTGCTCTTATTAGTGAATATCTTCATTGATATCCATCTTCTGATAAGTTAAGATCCATTCTTTGTTTAACTTTTCAAAGGTTGAGCTCCCTTCTTTATTTAACTTTTCAAAAGTTAAGCTCCCTTCTTTGAAGTAAGAATGATTTTATGCACTTGCAATCTATCAAATGAGCAAAAATACAACAACAACAACATCAACACCATTATGTGAGATATATTTCAAGGGTAGGAAAAAATATTTTGTTCTAGATAGAAGAACATTGATGATTTTTTCTATCTTGCAATCCATCCTAAAGAGTGATGCTTACAAGTTTAGGGTGGCTTTATATAAGTAAGGATAATGGTAAAATCTGTTTAACGAATGCTTTTATAGTAAAATCTAATTATTTTATCCCTCAGTTATATCAAAATCCGAAGGGATAGATCATTTAGTTTATACTATTAAACAAATAAAAATATAAATTGTAATAGTTGAGATTCAAAGCGTGTTCTGATATGTGTTTCCCCTCGGTTTTATTAAAAACCAAGGGAATATGTTATTTTTATTTTTATAAAACAATAAAAGATGTCACGACTTGGCATTATACCTCGGTTTTTCTTTAGATGAGGTGAAAGGTTCATCATGAAATGTTTTATTTGTAGTAGTGTGATTCAGATTTTGGAGTGCTTTTTCCCCCTAGAGTCCAACACCCTTAACGACTGGGACCATGAAAATGGTAAAGGAGTGAAGGAGTACCTAGGTAAGAGTAAATATCTTTTATTTATGTTCTATTGTATAGGCGCACTCTAATGGTTTGCCTCGATGACAAATGTGAGTGTCTGGTGAAGATGTAGCTGGCTCAACAGCGGGCGATGCTATCTTTTGCTCGCAGCACCGCTGACGCTCGGGGGCTGGTGCAAGGTGAAACTTCTAGAACAAAAGAGATTCATCCTTATAAGGTTCCCAGGAGGGAAGATATTTCTTATGGTCTGTCAGGAAACCTAGAGGCAGGGCCCGAGGCAGAGAGATTAGTGGGCACTCTGATTCCTTCTAAACCTTCTTTGTGGAACAACTCTACTTTTAACACTATGGCTTTTGCTTGTCATTTATTTTCCTTCCTTAGGAAATTCCCAGATTATTATCATATGCTTCCCTCCATGTCTCTTTCCCAACTGTCAACTTTTATGGAGGTCCATCTTGTGAGATGTTTCTTGGTGGGGAAAACGTTAAGGGAAAAATGCTCTAACACGCTAAAGAGAATGTAGTATGAGGTGATCAACTTGAAAAAGCATACTCGGGAAGGAGGGGTGATGTTAAAGAAGATGAAGGTGAGAAAGGAATGATCTAAAGGTGCTTGCCAAAGGAGTGTCCACTTAGGCACATGTTCAGTGTGAAGAGGTGGATGGCTTGAAGGAGTCGTTCGAGGAAGCCCGAAGCACTCTTGAAAGCACAAAGGAGAAAGTCTCTCGGTTTATGGATGATTTTGTGTCAGCCCCCATTTACCACTTATAGGAAGTGAGATGGAGGGTTACCCTCCTATATCCCCATCTGGATTTAAGCCATGTGGATCCTTTTAATGTAGTTTTGGATGGGGAGCTGATGGGCGGAGAATATATCCTCCTCCCTTTTTTCTATTGGCTGTAATTTTATTTAACCCTCCAGAGGATTTTGTAATTATTTTGAACGTCGATGTCTCCTGTTGTTGCCTTTTGACTACTTTTATTATTAATTGTTCTACTATGGCCATTTTTGAGACGACAAAAATCCTTTTTCAGGGGGATCTGTTATTTTTAACTGTCTTTATGGGTGGCACATATCTCATCTTGGGGATCCGTCGCCCTAATTTTCCTCTATGGAAAGGATCCCATCTTAAGGATCCAACATACATAATTTTCTATGTGGGCGATAAGGATCCGATCTTGGGGATCCAACATAATTTCCTTCACGGGCAGCAAGAATCTTTTCTTAAGGATCCAACATAAATGCCTCTACGGGAAACAAGAATCCCATCTTGAGGATCCAACATAATTTCATCTATGGGAAATAAGAATATCATCTTGGGGGATCTAGCATAATTGCCTCCATGGGGGGAAAGGATCATATCTTGAGGATTAATCGTAATTGCCTCTATGGATAGAAAGGATCATATCTTGGGGATCTAGCATAATTTCCTCCATGGGTGGCAAGGATGCTATCTTGATGATCCAATGTAATTACCTCTATAGTCGGAAAGGATACCATCTTGAGGATTCAACGTAATTTCCTCTATAGGCAACAAGAATCCCATCCTGAAGGATCCAACGTAAATGCCTCTATGGGCGGCAAGGATCCATCGTGGGGATCCACCATAATCTCCTCTATGAGAGGCTTTCTCGTGAGAATGGATTTTCTGCATAGATGCATAATAACATATAGATATAGATAAATAAATATGATGCGCCTCGTTAAAAACCCTTGCTCCATAGAAAGCGCAGAGGAAAAAGAGTGCACCTTAAAACATAACTTGTCCTTACAATTTGCAGAGTTTTAATACTCGTCTATGAAAAATTGTCAACTAGATGAATGGATACCAAAAACAAAATGTGAAATTTTGACACACACACAATATCAGAAGTTAAGACTGATGTCTTAACAACACACAATGTATCAACAGATTTTATGACATCTGCTGACAGAACAACAAACAAAAACAACACAACAGAACTATAACTTGCGGAAAAAAAGAACACAACGATATATTAACCCAGTTTGGTGCAACTCACCTACTCTGGGGGCTACCAAGCCAGGAAGGAAATCCACTATCAGTAGTACTAGTTCAAAGCTAAACTCCCTCGTTTACAACTTATCACATAATCCCTACCCAATGCAACTTCTACCCAGGTCCTCCCTAGATATGAGAAATATCCACCCCCACTTCCAATCACTACAGTGATAAAAACTCCTAATCACAGGGAAAAACAATTCTAGTCCCAAGAACCATTAGGAAGTACACACTCCCCAATTACAACCAAAAAGAAGATAACACTTCCAAAAACAAATAGTTAGCCTTTCTTAAAAGCTTCGGCCAAGAACTATACTCAACTTGTGCCTATGGACTTTGAGTGAGAATAATAACTTGAAAAACAAGTAACAATTAATCAACACAAATGTATTAGAGATACATGAGGACGTCCAAATAAAACACATGAAGAACCTAAGAAACTACCAACCCAAAACCCTTATTTTTCACAAGGATTTGCAATAGTAAAGTATGCTTAAAAACTAGGTCTGGGACGAATCCTTATATAGGCTTCTGAAGTTGGGATTGGATTGGCTTTGATTCTTCAATCAACTCCAATCTTTAGCTGAAAAATCTCTGCAAAATATTCTTATAAAAATAGAAACAATCTTCATAAAAAGTTTCCTAAAAGTCCCAATTTATCCTTTTTAGTAACCAATCAAATATGCACTTGTTTCTAACAAAATCCTTGATTGGCCTGCGCCTATAATGAGTATAGAATATCCCAGATTCTTATATCTTCAAATTAAATCTTCAAGGATATCCAAAATCAGCGCCTGTTGCATCAGCCTCAGGATGTCACAACATCTTCTGTGACATCTGGCAAAAAAGACATAACAGAAAAACTGTTATGACAACTGATAAAGATGCTACACCATCTTACCAACATCAACATAGAACCATGCTTAGCCAAAATTTAGCCAACCATAAAAACATGGAACTAACAATCTCCCCCTTTGGCAAATTTTGGCTAAAACAACCAAAAATCAAATTCAATTGGAGAGAAGAATAAAACCATAACACAAGCTACATGCTTATCATGTAAACTCTGTAAAAACATAGCTCAAAAGCTTGTACACACATACATGTTAGAACTCCCCCTGTCACACATAATATGTTCTCTCCCTCAAGGGAAAAACCCACACTAGAGCAGTTGTAGCCAAACAACAGAAGCATCAACAACAACTTCAGTACACACAAGCATGAACACACATGTTCCCCCTTAATTATTTCAAGAGCACGATACACACAACCATTCTCATAGAAACAGTAACACAAATTCCTATCACAATACTAAATAAACATTTCAGGACATGTGATGTAACATCAGGACACAACACTTTACTCCCCCTTTTTAGCCAGAATATTAACAAAAAAGAACCAGAGTAAATGTACACAGTGGAAACACACCTATGGAAACATGTTGCACACAAGCAACAACACATAGCATTCAGACCTGCACATATGTAGATACACAGATGGAAACACAGAAATTGCACATTAGCAATATCATAGGTGGAAACACACAGAGCATTACATAACACATTTCACTCAGGCAATACAAAAGAGGGAAACACACAGATGAAAACAAAAATTATTGGCCAGCTTTAGGTGGTTTGCCACCTCTTTCCCCTTTCAATGATCCTTTTGCATTCCATGTTGCTATAGCCAGTCCCGCTGACTTGCAGAATACCTTTCTTTCAGCCAATAACCCCAGCAATAGGCATGTCATGCCCCATAACATAGAGGAAAGATGCAGTAGAAGTTGCATTCCCTATTTTCTCTAATCGCTATAACTCTTCAATAGTACAAGTTCCAATATCAACGTATTTGATAATAACAAGTTGTTCCTTGTTGTCCATATGCTCCAAAGTATAATTCTTTCCTTCAACAAGGTTCCTAATCAGCTGCTTACAACTACTAAGATCCTTGTACCATTCATGTTAAATAAGATATCTGAAGGAGTTCAAATCTTCATTTTGAAATGTCATGACATCTCTCTTGACATCATACCTCTTTAAAATCAATTCAGAGTACCTTTCACCTATTTTCCTCAAGGAAACACATTAATATGTATTTGATATACTGTTTAAATTCAGTGATGTTACCTTTATCAGGGTGACTAGCAGTCAAATCCCTGGTTTTTTCTATCTTCCCCTTAGTAGACAGACTTGTGATGGATTGAGAATTCACCTGTTCAGTGTTTGTAAATTCACAAGTCTCCTCTCCTTGTGCTTCATCAGTTTGCACATAGGATGTTCGAAAATTATTTCTGACATCCTCCCTTTCTTCAACAGTTAACTCATCAATTATTATATTGACATATTCCAAAGACATTCCAGTTCTGAAGTTGAAAATTGTATAAGTCCTTCTCTTCAAGGAGTATCCCATAAAAATCCCTTCATCCCTAATGTTCATCTTCTTGTACTTCTTACCTTTGTCAGTCCAGTAGTAGAATTTACTTCCAAAAACATGAAAACAATTGACTCTAGGCTTCATTCTTGTCCATAACTGATATGGAGTGGTTGAAGTATTTTTTGTCAGAGAAACTCTATTATGGACATAACACACAGTATTCACAGCTTCTTCCCAAAAGTACAAAGGCATAATCTTAGCACAAAGCATAACTCTGGCTAATTCAAGAATCTCCTTGGTTACTTGTTCAACACTTCCCCCTTGCCGAGATAAATCATAACGAATATTATTAGAAGTACAAAATTTAGATAATTTTATGTTCCCAATTTCATTGTCAGGATTACTTCTAATTTTTACAATATCATCATTCTTCTCTTCTTGAATAGTTTGACACAAGTCTTTGAAGATCTTAAATGCATCTCACTTTTCTTTAAGAAAGATTATCCAAGTATATCTCGAAAAAATATAACATACCTCTTACCGCACATACTTTCAACCTGCATTGGTCCCATTTAGTCCATATGAATAAGTTATAACCTTTTTGAAGTAGTCTAGGGTTGTGACATTTTGTGTGACATCACGAATTGAGACCTAGAATCACACTCATCACAGACTAACCCTTCTTCAATCTCTAGTTTTGGAAAGTCTATAACGACTCCTTTAGATATGACTTCCTTTATCTTTTTTTAAATGAAGATGTCCAAGTTTATTTTGCCATAGATTTAGATCATACTTACTTCCCTTTGAACCTTTGCAATCAGTTTCCCAACTCCTTAAATTTTACTAATGACACTATCACCTAAACTTGTAGATCCAGTAGGATGAGACCTACTATTCAGCATTAACTTCTACTCTCCTGTCATATTCCTAGCACACCAACTGTCATGATTCTTGTTTTCTCCATTTGAGTTTCTTAGAAACATATGAGCATTGGAGTTAACACCCATATTACCAGTCCCTTTCTTTTTGCTAACTTTCTCACCCTTAGTAAGAACTGGAGATTTTTTATCTCCATATAGTTTATAGCAGGAGGTCTTTATATGACCATGCTCACCACATGAGGAACATGTT